GTAATACTAATTTTTTTCCTTTTATATGTAAACTAAACATCCTTTAAGTTCTAAAAAAAATACATAAAGTAGTATATACATGTTTATGCTCCAAAAAAAAAGACTCTACTTTCTCATCTATAAAATGAGAAGCATAACAGTTTCTACTTCAAAAGTCTAGATGGAGAACAAATCAGTCATACAGAAAATTTTGAAAGTCTCAGGCACAGAGCTAGTAACCAAAACAGGTCAGTAGATATTCTTGGACTTTATAAAACTACACAGCTTGGGTCACCTAGAGTAGTAAAGAGCATGTTGAGGTGCTGCAACATTCTGTTATCTAGCTTCTCTCAAAAGTCTAACTCAAAAAATAGATCAAGGTCCCAATCCCCAAGACAGAAACCTTATTAGTTTTACATGTGAGTGACTAGAAGGAAACCAGAGGTACTGAAGAAAATCATGTTGGGGGCAAGGATACCTTCCAATGGCAAGGTTGAGGCATCTGACTTGCACTCTAAAGAGCAGAGGAGACAGTCCTTCCCTCCTGGTGAATTATAAACTAGGCATGACATCTGTGTGAGAGTTCTGTCACAAGGAACATGCATGCAATGGGTACATACACACACGGGAGACATAAAGTGATGTGAATCAGCAGTGACCAAAGTCATAGTACAGCAAGGTACTTAATCAAGGCTGTCCTACACTATGATCAATATGAAGACTGGAGAACATCCAGGTCTGCTGGCTTATGACCTCTAACAATCTAGAAATACTCTTGTAAAACACATTTCTTTGAGCTCTATAGTTCTTTTATCCTAACCTCTTAAATATGCCAATGATTTGCCAATTAAAACTCTTTCCCAAGCTATTATCTCTTCAAACCAGAAGTAGTTTATAAAAAATAAATCACCACATTTGGAGGCTAACCGGGATTGTGTACAAAACCTCAGAGACATGTTCCCTACCACTCCCCAATTCTGTTTCCTTTGCTGAACAATTTATTTATCTTTCTTGGCTTGGAAACTGGCCCTCCCACCTATAGTTCAGCAGCACCAGAGCTCATAACCCTAGCCTTTCTGGAAATAATTCCCTCAGCAGCATGGCAGCAAGCCAGTACAGGGCCTGACAACCAGCCCTGTGAAGAGCCACAGGCTCAGTAGGTGAAGAGGGCGAAAAGAATAGAGAAAACAGAAAAGACAGAGATCAGAATTATCTCTGAGAGCTATAAAACAAAACAAAACCAAAAACAAACTGTTGTGATCTGGAACTAGATGACTTCTCCTTGGGCAACAGAAACTATGTTCTACTTGGGCATTTTTTTAAGATTCTGTTTTTGGCAAGACACCCCTACCATGCCTGTATTGCCTATACTAGACCCAATGACAAGGCAAATAGAGTATAATAGCCTCCTTTACTTAGGTTTCTTGCTCAAAATTCTTTTGTTCTATAACAAGTATAAGTCTAAGACAAGCAGAAAAGGTCAAAAGCTATGGACTTATGACCATATAAGATTCTGTGAAGTGAAATGAACCCCAAGATAGGGACACAAATGTTTTTTTTTCTTGCTTGCTATTGTTTGGAACGTATTTATAATGTACTATATTATTTTTTTGTTTATTTTGTATGTTCTTCCCCCCACAGTATAACCCATTTTCACTGTATTTGATGTCATTGCCCTGTATCTTGTATAAACATTTTTCTAATTTGGGGAGGGGGAGGGAAATAACAAAATACTGAAACAAGGATACAGGTTGACCCATTATAACAATGAGATGTACAAGACACCATGTTGAAAACAAATTTTACAACTTGGAGGTAGGGGGAGTTGGAGAAGTGGGGAAGGAAGGGATGGTAGGAGAAAAACAAAGGAGGAGGTAATAATCCTTGATAGGAAATGTACTCATTACCTTATTCACATAACTGTAAGCCCTCTGTACAGTATTTCTACAATAAAAGACATGTAAAAAGTTCTTTAAATCTGAAATCTTTTGTTCTGTTTGCTCCCTGGTTATGGACAATCATCTTGCCATGGGAACTTGACAAATCACTGAAGCTCTCTGAATTTCAATATACTCAGGATAAACATACAGCCAGATAGCATGGTTCAACTTAATTTTTTTTTGTGTGTCTGCCTGTCCTAAGGCTTGACCTCAAGGCCTGAGTGCTGTTTGTGAGTTTTGTGCTCAAGGCTATCGTTCTACCACTTGAGCCACAGCTCCACTTCCAGATTTTTGATAGTTAATTAGAGATAATTCCTGCCTTGGCTGTCATTGAACTGTAATCCTCAGATCTCAGCCTCCTGAGTAGCTAGGATTACAAGCATGAATTAACAGCACTGGCTTCAACTTAATTTCTTTACAATGTTGTGAAAGCTAGAAACATATAGGAACTATAGTTTGAATTTAAACTTTTGATCTTTTTCTGGGCTACTGATATGCAGCATGATATATTTACAATGCTAGGCAGAGGCAGCAAAACAAAGCTCCAAGACATCCATACAATCAGGAGGGAAACAACCAAACTCTAGAGTATACTGTGTTGCTAAGCTACAATGTTTGCTATGTTGTGTCTTTTCCACTTTGAAATTTTTCAATTTCAATTAGATTTACTGGGATATAAATAACCTCATTATAGGTCAAAGAGCTTTTTTTTTTTTTTTTTTTGGTCAGTCCTGGGGCTTGAACTCCGCCTGGGTGCTATCCCTAAGCTCTTCAGCTCAAGGGGAGAACTCCACCCCTTCATCCACAGTGCCACTTCCAGTTTTCTGAGCAGTTTATTGGAGATGGCTTTGAATCACAGTCCTCAGATCTCCTGAGTAGCTAGGATTATGGGCATAAGCCACAGGTACCCAGCAAAGAGCATTTGCTTTAGTAAATCTTGACCCTGTCATGTATTATTCTTATATCCCTAAAATGACAAGGTAGTTATAAATGTATTAAAACTGTTTTAAAGCATAAAAGATATCACAAAGATTCAAAGGTGGAATATTCAGGAAGTGGGTTAGAAGGCCTCACAGCAAGCCATGCTTCATGGTTTGTCTCTAGAACAGTAGATCTGTAAGGGTTCATAGGTTTATCAATACAGTGCTTTCGAAAAATCTCATCTATAGAACAATATTAACATATAGTACATTTTAAAAAATGGCCCTTCCTGAAAAGACTCCACATAGAGCTCCCCTATGACCCAGCAATCCCACTTTTGGGCATTTACCCAAATAATCACAAACAAGACCACACTAAAGCCACCAGCACAACTATGTTTATTGTAGCATTACTTACCATAGCTAAGATATGGAACCAATCCAGATGCCCCTCAGAAGATGAATGGATCAAGAAAATGTGATCTATCTATCTATCTATCTATCTAGTCTATCTATCTTGTCTATTTATCTATCTATAGAATTCCATTGTGTGTATGTACATACATACATACACACAATGGAATTCTATGCTTCCATCAGAAAGAATGACATCACCCCATTTGTTAGAAAATGGAAAGACTTGGAAAAAATTATATTAAGTGAATAAGCCAGTCCCAAAGAAACATAGGTCCCGGGACAAGGTCTGGGACAAGCAGAAAAGGTCAAAAGCTATGTACATATGACCAGATGAGATGATGTTAAGTGAAACGAACCCAAGATAGGGACACAAGTGGGTTTTTCTTTCTTGCTATTGTTTCTAATGTATTTATAATGTACTATGTGATTTTTTTGTTGCTTTGTATGTTCCTCCTTCACAGTATAACCCCTGTTTTCACTATATTTGATGTCAGTGCCCTGCATCTTATATATATACTTTTCTAATTTGGGGAGGGGAAGGAAAAAACAAAATGTTTAAATAGGGACACAGGGTGACCCATTATAACAACGAGATGTACAATACACTATTCTGAAAAACAAACTTCAGGGAGGTATGTGGGAGTGTAGTTGTGGAGGTGGGAGGGAAGGGATGGTAGGGGAAAAACTAAAGGAAGGGGCAACAATGCTTGATAGGAAATATACTCATTACCTTGCTCATGTAACTGTAACCCCTCCAAACAGTATTTTTACAATAAAAAAACATTAAAAAATAGCCCCATGGCCATGTTAGTTTAACAAAATGCTGGGCTAAAGAGATTTTAACTTCAAGCCTTCTCAACACCTTAAATAGGGAAGCTTTTTTCTCTTTAATGAAATGTTTTAAGCTGGGCACCCATAGCTCATGCCTGTAATCCTAGCTACTCAGGAGGCTGAGAACTGAGGATTGAGGTTCAAAGACAGCATGGGCAGGAAAGTCTGTGAGACTCTTATCTCCAATAAACCACTAGAAAACTGGAAGTGGCACTGTGGCTCAAGCAGTGGAGCATTCTCCTTGAGCTGAAGAGTATAAAAACAGTGCCTAAGCCCAGAGTTCAAGCCCCACATCCAACCAAAAAAAAAAAAGGAAATGTTTTGGATGATGTTTTATAGAATATATTTTAGGAAGTGCTAATTTTGACTGTGTTCCTCCTTATATACCAGGAAGATGGGACTAAATTCTAGGTTTCTTAACTCCTGGAAGGTATCCCAGGGTCCAATTTAAAACATTAGGCAAGGAGTGATAGCAAGGAAGAATACTGCTGCACAACTGCAAAAGTTGCATTTACTCAATTCTCAAGGTTTGTCATCCTTAAATCATTACACAGGACCATCACTATCCTACTGCTTGGACTTAGATGATGGGTCACCTTGGAAAACAGCAATACATCTTTTCTAGCCCATGCAAAAGTGAGCAAAATTCCTAGTGCTGTCTATGTGCTCCTCTTTTACATTATATATCCATAGTTAATCCTTCTCCAACTGTACATATGTACAGTATAAAATTCAGATGAAAACTAAAAGAAAATTGTATTACATAGTAGCAGTGACAGACTAGAAAGATAGTCTCCCATGTTTGGCATTAAAACAGCCACCTCCAAATCTTCATTGGGGAGATGGGTCATTGTTGGGTTTACCTAAGGTTCATCAGAGGAAAATAATACATGAACAATGACTGTTCCTTTACCTTCTTTTTGGATTTGAAGACATTACACCTGAAAATGTTGCTGGCACCATCTCGAGCAATATAGCTGAAGATCTTCAAGTCTTGGGAATCGTGAGAGACATAGAAGATCCTAGGGGAAAAGCAACAAAAAATATACTGAAAATGGCAGTAGATTCAAATCTTCCATAGGAAGAACAGGCAGAAGACAGAGCTCACTAAAGTTAAATTACTAAAGAAAGTCTTCTCCCTATGGGATCAGAACTCCACACTGCAAGACAACTTTTCATTAAGTTCCCTAAATTCAGTTGCTCATATGAGTGATGCCCAAATGTGAGAGAAGCCTGGGTTAGATATAGAACCTATACTATTAGGAGCTATCTCCTGAGGTGGCAAACCTGACCCGGTAACTTCTATATGAGAAGGAATGATTGTTGTTATCTTTATCAGAGAAACAAATCTGCATCTTCCCAGAGAAATGTGTATATGTTTCCTAATGCCTCTTCACTGTTATCCACAAATGCAAACCATGCTGGGAAACTAAAACACTCCTTTGCATTCTTTCTTTGTTTGTTTGTTTTTGTTGGTGGTGGGGCTTGAACTCTTGACCTAAGTGTTGTCCCTGAGTTCTTCAGCTCAAGGTGAGCTCTCTACCACTTGAGCTACAGCCCACTTCTGTTTTTCTGGTGGTTAACTGGAGATAAGTCTCACAAACTTTTCTGCCTGGGCTGGCTTTGAACCGCAGTCCTCAGATCTCAGCCTCCTGAGTAGCTAGGATTACTGGTGTGAGTCACAGACATGAGCCACTGGCACCCAGCTCCTTTGCATTCTTTTTATTTTTCCAGTTGGTCGTGGGACTTGAACTCTGGGCTTGGGCACTGTCCCTGCACTCTTCAGCTCAAGGCAAGTGTGCTACTGCTTGAGCCACAGAGGTACTTCTGGGTTTTTAGTGGTATATTGGAGCTAAGAGCCTCACAGACTTTCCTGCCCAGGCTGGCTTTGAACTGTGATCCTCAGCTCTCAGCCTCCTGAGTAGCTAGGATTACAGGTGTAAGCCACCAGAACCTGGCTTCCTTTGCATTTTTGTAGGTGATTATATAATCACCTTGGTGATTATAGCTCTATCTGCCCCTCTGACAGGACTATGGTTTCCACAGATTCATTTCTTGAATCAGTTAGTGTTTTGAGAGGATGAATGGGGTTTTCTCAGCAGCTGAGGATACAGAACAAAGCCTCTGGGCTCACATAGCTTACACATAAGTGTAATTATGCAAATAAAAAATGCTCTCAAGAACCATCAGGCAGAGTAGGGACAGGTCATGATAGAGGATGCTGTTACAGACATCATCTTATAGTCATGCAGAGACCTAAGAATGTAAGGGAACAAGTCACAGGAACAAAGATACTGCAGGAAGAGAGAACAGAAAGATTAAAGCTCTGTGATGTGCAGAAAGTACTAAAAAGAACATGTGAAATGTCAAGTATGAGTCAAGAGGAATGAGTATAATCATAACAGGGTCACAGAAACTATCATCCACGAGAACACAGAAGACATTGACGGTCAGTTTATATTCTGTGAATTGAGAAGCCTTTGGAGACTTCTGAACAGAGGACTGACTTCTTTGTGCTTCCTTAGAATTAGAGTATCCTCTGATTAATTTGAATTGAAGAAGGTAGGGACAAGGGTAGAAGCAGAAGAAAAAGAAAAATTATAAGCAAAGTGTCCTAGTGGAAAATCTTAAGTAGGCCTAGGATAGAGTATCATCAGAACCACCAGGTCTGAATACTGTTGGATGTGAGGTAAGGGCAGGAAGATGAAGAAAATGGCCAGTAGAATTAAGTTTTAGGTGACTCAAAGATGAACATCATTGGGGTCACATCCTATCCAGAAAGTATTTTTCCTCAATGAAAATATTGATGACTTTTACCCAAGGGTTTAACTGGCCTGTTTTGTTGTTGTTGTTGTTGTTGTTGTTGTTGTTTATTTTGGTTTTGGTTTTTAAATGTCAGTGTTTTATAGGAGAAAAAGAATGGGATTTGGTGCTTTAAAGTCTTTATAATTTTACTACTTAGTACATACAAGGCAAACCATCAAGATGCTCAGTTGTGCTATCTATAAAGCAGGACCTATTAACAGAAACACTTGCAGGGTTATTGTGAAGATAAAGTATTTAATAAAGTGCCATTTTACTTCTCTTTATTGATGCAGTTTGTAAATAGTCCAGTAGCTAAGATTTTCCCCAGAAGCCTGGGAGGGACATTCAAAAGAAGAAAAGCACTGGACAGAAACTCAAGTTCATGTTAAGGATTACAGGTTCTTTGCTAAACTTTGAAAGAAGTTATTTCAGGTTCTAATCTTGTTTCCCCAAAGTGGCTAGTCACTTTTCTCAACTTTTACCATAATAATCAAGAATCAAGAAGGCCACAGAGTCCCTGGTGTTTGTAATAATGCCAAACTACCTTCTTATCAAAGGGACAAGTCAGCAATGGCACCTCAGCATTTCCTGTTTGAACAGTTGGCCATTCCTCCCAACCCTTCCTATCAGACATCCCCTCTGGAATATCTTTGAAACTTCTCAAATTTATCAGGTCCCTACCTGAATTCACCATAATTCCCCAAATTTGCCAAACAAACATGGTCACACTCCAGTGCTCTATCTTAATAATGAAACACTGAATCCATTCAAGTCAGAAATCTAGGTGACTCCCTTGGTTCCTTATTCCACTGTTCCTAGAAGGTCACTCATGACTGCATCCCAGCAGGGGAATTCCCTGCTATGTCCGTGATTTGTGTTTTCAACTCCATGGGCACTACTTTTGTTCTCATTTTTTAAAATAGGCTTTTGCAATATCCTCTGTATGCCTGACTTTCTGCTTCCTAGCACACTAACCCTGACCCATTCTCCACAGTGCTAGCAAAGGAATATATATTTTTATTGTAAAGATACTATACAGAGGGTTTACAGTTACATGAGTATAGTAATATAGAGGAGCATTGTTACCCCCTCCTTTGTTTTTTCCCTACCATTCTTTCCTTCCCCATCTCTCCAACCCCTCCCTCCCCACCCCCAAAGCTGTAAAGTTTATTTTCAACATAGTGTCTTGTACATCTCATTGTTACAATGGGACATACTGTATCCTTGTTTCAGCATTTTGTTATTTCCCTTCCCCTCCCCAAATTAGAAAAATGTATATATAAAATGCTGGGCACTGGAGTCAAATACAGTGACAACAGAGTTTATACCATGGGGGGGGGGATAACATACAAAAGAAACAAAAAAATCACATAGTACATTAAAAAAACAGCGACAAAGAAAAAACCCAAAGGAATGCTTTTTTTTTTTAAAGGTATACTACATCCCATTATTTTTCTCTTGAAACCTTCCAAAGGCTTCCTACTGCCTTCAGGTTGAAGTTCAAATTCCTGAATATGAAGGAATGAATCTTCATGGCACCAGAATTCTGACCTACACAAACTTTCAGAACTAGCTACATATATCTTCCTACCTTTGAAACTGCTATGGACATCCTTCAATACTTGGCTCAGATGAAGTAAGTAGACCCTGAGATGGGGCCACAGCTGGTATGATTCCATTTTGAGCTTTGCCTTTGTTTTAGAGATTTTAGACTTGATAGGCCTAGTTCCCAGAATGAAAAAAAAAATGCATCTGGTCCCCCTTCCCTTAACAACCTAGCCCACCCCTGATTTTGAGTTAAAGACTGACCCATAAAACAGGTTGCAATCTAGCTCCAACTGGCAACACCACCTGCTTATGGTAAACCCTGCCTTTTGCACATACTTACGGTAAATTCCGCCTATTGGCCACCTGTGTGTAGTCTGGCATGACTGTACAATCCTTTGTGTATTAAGATACCATTGGTCACCTGCTCATGACCAGGCTCAACCTCATGGATTTTGCATTTAAAAACCAAACAATGGGGGCTGCTCAAGGTTGCAGTGTCAGCTCCTGAGCCTGTGCTGTGGCCCTGACCGGTCAGTGTAGGAACCTTCTCAATAAAGTTGCTTCTTAGCATCCCAAGTGCCAGCACATCACTGTGAGATATGGTAGGTAAGTATATCTTGCTTAGGAAGGAAAAAGGCATATCCACTGTCATGAACAAACACTCATAATGTAGTCTGCCTAGCAACTCATCCCCAATCTCTACTATCACTCCAGGAACTCTGGTCCAGTTAGTTCAGATGCATTACATAAGACTCCTTTGATTTTGAGTTTTTAATTCATTATGTAGTACCCTAGAGACAGAGAACTATATTTAAAGCTGGTTAGCAGAGATGAATATGATCTGGCATGCCAACAAGACACAGAGATGTGGAAGGTACAAAAGGAGAGCAGTAAGCTAAGATTAAATTTGACCTTCACAAAGCACCTTTTAAAAAATCCAATGACAACCTATGCACAGAAGCAGCCACTCTTTTTGGACTCTGGAGACTGCTCAACTTCCTATGTCTGAGTTCAGAAATCTATGAAAAGTAAATAACCTCTACCCAGCCAAAAAGCCACCAATAGCTTAGAAAGTTTCCATTAATACAACCAAGAAGCAGAAAGTTTTTCCATATGACCTCGTTCATCAACAAATTAATACATCAACTAATTAAATATTAATATCCATACTTCTAGATTTTGAATACATCCAAAGAACATTACCTCTTATCACCACTGTGAAAATATGGTAGATTCAAGGGAGATGTCAAATCAAAGTCCAGAAAAATATGAGGAAGCAGGTATTCAAAATGGGTGCAATGGGGTCTAGGGGAAAGGGATAGATGAATGAAGAGGAGAAGGGAAGGGGGAAATGAAGGGGAAAATCCAATGCATATCCTACAGAATTAAGAAGAGTGAGGGAGGGGATGAGTAGGGAGGGATGAGTGTAAACCTTAGAAGGGGTGACATTGATCAAGATATATTGTTTTCACAACTGCTTTGTTAAATGGGAACTCATTTGTACAACTACTTAAAGATAATGCAAAAATAAAATAAAATAAAAAAAGAATTTTGAAGGTGAGCACTATCGAGAATGGAAAGGTTTACCTTTCTCTTTCCTTAAGACCAATGTAGTTAAGATCATACTTCCACAAAGCAACTATGTCTAGCTTCTTAACTTTCACCATAA